GAACCCTGTAGATTACTAGAGAACATATTACTCCTGTACTGCAACACTTGTATTGGCTCCCAGTTAAATACCGCATTGAATTTAAAGTACTTCTTCTTACATATAAGGCACTCAATAACCTTGCTCCCTCGTACTTGTTTGATCTTCTTCATATCTACACTCCTACTCGTACTCTAAGATCATCTTCTCAGAATCAGAATGAGCTTTATTGCCAGGTATGTTTACACATACAAGGAATTTGTTTTCGTGACAGAAGCTTCCACAGTGTAACAGAATGACAGTGACAGGACAAAAACACAGATAATAAAAGAAAACAAAATTAGAACAAGTAAAAAGGGAATAACAATATACAAATTGACAATTGTATGTACAGGTATATTACAATAGACAGTTTTGTATGTACAGGTATATTATGTGCAAGTTCGAAATGTAAACTAAGTATGTGTGTTAGATAATTAAGTGTATAAATAATAATTGTGGAACACACAAGACTGTCAAGTGTTCATAAGATGGATTGTCTGAGGGAAGAAACTGTTCCTGTGCCTGGCTGTTCTGGTGCGCAGTGCTCTGTAGCTTCGACCAGATGGTAACAGTTCAAAGAGGGAGTGGGCTGGATGTGAGGGGTCCAGAGTGATTTTCTTAGCCCTTTTGCTCACTCTGGATAAGTACAGTTCTTGGAGAGTAGGGAGGGTTGTACCAATGATTCGCTCAGCTGAGGTCAGTTTTGGTAGCTGAGCTGAACCAGACAGTTACAGAGGTGCAGAGGATTCAATGACTGCAGGGTAGAACTGTATCAGCAGCTTCTGTGGCAGGTTGAACTTCCTCAGTTGGCGAAGGAAGTACAACCTCTGCTGGGCCTTTTTAACAATAGAGTCAAAGTGAATGTCCCACTTCAAGTCCTGAGAGAGAGTGGTGCCCAGGAACCTGAATGACTCCACTGTCATTACAGTGCTGTCCATGAAGTCCACGATCATCTCCACTGTTTTAAGCGTGTTCAGCTCCAGGTTGTTAAGACTGCACCAGACAGCCAGCTCTTTAACCTCCTGTCTGTAAGCAGACTTGTCACCGTCCTGAATGAGACCGATGAGTGTGGTGTCGTCTGCAAACTTTAGGAGCTTGACAGAGGGGACCTTTGAAGTGCAGTCGTTCATGTAGAGGGAGAAGAGCAGTGGGGAGAGGACACATCCCTGAGGGGAGCCAGTGCTGATTATATGGGTGCTGGATGTGAATTTTCCCAGCCTCACTAGACACTGACCACTGATCACGTTTTAAGCATGAAGGGACTTCGCACAGCTCCAGTGATCTGTTGAAGATCTGTGTGAAGATGCGGGCCAGCTGGACAGCACAGGATTTAAGACAGGCTGGTTTAACAGAATCTGGGCCTGGTGCTTTTTTCCTCGTCTGCTTCCGGAAGACCTGGCGCACATTAGGGCTGTCAAAATAGCTCAAAAACTAAATTCGAATTTTTTACTTAAATATTATCAAAATTCGAATTATATTAGAATTTAAAATGCATAATTTCAGTTATGGTGAAGAAAAGATCTTGGCTTCTTTCCTGAGGCCACAAGAGGGCGCATCGAGCAAACTATTACTAATGCACGTTTATTCAAAGTGCATAATGTTTAAAATAATGTTTATAAACCAATTATAATTAAGTTGCTTAAACAACTATAAACAAAACAGCATCATGTATGTATGCATAGTTTAACACAAAGGACCGAAATCACACAGAGTACATTTTTCATTTAAAAACACGAGTTACAGTGGGATGGGGAAAAAACCCGCCATAAAGTCTCAAGGTATGTTTTTTCAAAGTTAACCTTGCATTAATTTTACATGGCTTTCTAAACATGCGGCTCCTTTGTGCGAGATGCGAGTGCATCGGTAATAGACGTCCCTCTAGTAAATGCGCGAAATATGCGTTCTGTGTTAACGGCTTGGTTTCAGTTTTGACTTAAACAAGATCTCCGCATTGATGTTCTCTTTTCCCACAATATTTGTAATTTACAACGCAGCAGCGCCGCATCTAGTGGCTTCAACTGGATAGGTTAACAAAAACATTAAAATGCAATGACACTTATATCGTCATCGCATCTCGTGCGTCACTGATAAGGCTGCCTCCTTAACGCACACCTAAAATTCAAATGCAACGTTTTTGCATTCGAATGTGGATTTTTATTTTAAATTCAACTAATAATCGAAATTCGATTTTTTTTTTGACAGCCCTAGCGCACATCATCTTTGCTGATCTGAGGTGCAGGACTGGAGAAGAGGGGGGTTGCAGGAGGTGTTAATGGTTGTGTGGAGAAGTGTTCAGAGCAGGTGTGGGGTGTTTTTTCAAACCTGCAGTAAAACTCATTCAGATCGTCTGCCAGTTGTTGATTCTCCACAGTGCTGGGGGATGGTGTCTTGTAGTTGGTGATCTCTTTCAGACTTTTCCACACTGATGCTGCGTCACTGGAAGAGAACCGAATCCTTAGCTTCTCAGAATAATTCCTCTTTGCCACTCTGATCTCCTTTTCCAGTGTATATTTGGCCTGTTTATACAAGACTTGGTCCCCTTTCCTGTAAGCATCTTCTTTGGCCTGACGGAGCTGTCTTGAGTTTTGCAGTGAACCATGGTTTGTCGTTGCTGTAGGTTAAATGAGTCCTGGTAGGAATTCACATATCTTCACAGAAACTGATATAGGATGTTACGGTCTCTGTGAGCTCGTCCAGATAGGTGGCAGCAGCTTCAAAAACACTCCAATCAGTGAGGTCGAAACAGGCTTGTAAATCCCGCTCTGTTTCATTAGTCCATCTTTTTGCAGTCCTTAATACAGGTTTAGCTGATTTCAGTTTCTGCCTGTAGGTCGGTATAAGATGAACCAAACAGTGATCAGAGAGCCCCAAAGCTGCCCATGGGACAGAGTGATATGCATCCCTTATTGTGGTGTAACAGTGATCCAGTATATTAATGTCTCTGGTGGGACTTGTAACATGCTGTCTGTATTTAGGCAGTTCACGGGAGAAATTTGCTTTATTAAAGTCCACGAGAATGATTAAAACAGAGTCCGGGTGATGTTGTTCTGTCTCTAAGATTTGATCAGTGAGTTTTTGCAAAGCCAAGCTCATGTGCGCTTGCGGAAGAATGTTAACACTCACGAGAATGAACGAGCAAAACTCCCGCGGTGAGTAGAAAGGTGCTTGTACTTCTGGACTCTTCTGTACTCACTCTTGTTTTTCCTCGAATTCGCACAACTTCTATGGGCTCTCGAGCCTTTAGTCATGCAGCTCCTTATCTATGGAATTTGTTACTACAGGATGTGCGAAATAGTGAAAGTCTTAGTTGTTAATTGTTATATCATAGATATAGTCATAGATCAAGTATTATCATTAGCATATTTGGCAGAATCACTGATAGAACCTCAAACTTTGAAACATTTAAAGTTCTCTCATACTTGAAATAATTAATACTGGGTAATTCTGAACCCTCAGTAAATGGGATCCTGGTTAATATTTTATTTTTCACACTGCTCATACTTTACCTGGAGTTAAACATTAATTCTGATCATTGATAATATGACATATCACACTGTACATTTCTAAACCCTGGCTTACTGTTTTTATTTGCATATTTGCAGTGTCAACGGTTAACAAATTTACATTTGGTTTTGGATCACTGAATATGCGTAGGATTCAAGTATTTGGACATAGAGCTGCACTGAAATCCACATATCTCTGGAGTTAAACCATACACAGCCTAAAAATAAAGATTCCAAAAGAAATTTTTAAAATAAATCATATGACAGGCATGCAAACTTCAGAAAATGAACATTTTCGGCACTCAGGTATGTTCTATGCCATTGTTTTAGTAGAGGGAAACAAGATAGATTTCTAGATACAATATTATTTATTCTTTAGATATTTTTCTTTAAAATTCAATTAGTATTAGCTGTAAAGTGACCCACATTTGATTTTCAACCATTGAAAATGGGTAAAATTCAACAATTTGGATATTGAGTTACATTGGGCTCTCCATATCTCTGGCATTGAACCATATAGGGCCTTAAAAATGAACGTCCTTGAAGAAAAGTTTCAGAGTAACCAGAATCTAACTTCTAGAGGTACAAGCACATAAACTTTGGGACGATAATCCTTTCTCCACTCATACTTTTTCCTGAATTTCCAATATTGGACAGATCATTTCTTATGTAACGAAGTGGCTTTCCTTTGCATTGAACCATATGTTAATCAGTGAAAAAAAGAGAGAGAAAGAGGTTCAAGTAGCAAGCATGTTTCGTAACACCAGCAAATGAGATGTACTGTTATAATGTTGACTGAGTTGGCATCATATGAAGAGGAAGCAACGTCACCTGTGTACATGAGATTTGTAAAGCTAACGTGAGAATTGATATAGCACGTGTATATCATTTTGATTTTGATTGCTTCCATTGTCCTCATTTGTAAGTTGCTTTGGATAAAAGCGTCTGCTAAATGACTAAATGTAAATGTACATAATGTTCTCTGTGCCTATGATTTCCATTAATAGAGTGTTGAGTGTGTTGTTGCTGTTGTCTTTTATTTGCATGTGTCATTACATTGTGTGCATACAGACACATACAGACCCTCCAGATCTACCACATTCAAATTAACTCACTTCTGTAGAATTACAGCAACAAAGAGCAACACAGAGAAAAATATCAGAAAAACACATGAACGAGGAAGAAAAATGAAAAGAGCTTTTGTTTAGATTAATAAACAAATGATGTGATGCTGAATGAGGGATGAGAGCAGATATAATAATCACAGACAGAAACATCAAACTCTGGACAGAAGCACACGACCTCTAAAGTAAGAACAACTCACATTCATTCTTTAACTAGACTTTTTGACATGTTAATATTGTCTTAATCATTGTGGTATGGTGCATTTATGTTCCTGTTTTTAATTATCACTGAAATCATGTTTCACACCAAAATGAATCTGGGAATATTTATCTATATTTTTCTTCCTCAGAAATGGACCAAACTCTATATGTCATTCTTCTCATTGGTGAGTGTGTTTGAGGTTTTATTTAGTTTCATTAGGTTTGATCCTGTTCTGAAAAGCATTCAATCAAAGCCTCTCTTTCACAGCTCTCTGCTCCGTGTCTGAATGTTTTCAGCGTCAGTATCACTTTATAAATGAGAACAAGACCTGGACTGAAGCTCAGAGATACTGCAGAGAGAATTACACCGATCTGGCCACCGTTGACAACATGACCGACATGAACGAGCTGAAGAAGAGTGTGAATGGTGGAGGTTTTCAGTTTGTCTGGATTGGGCTGCAGAGGACGGGTCGTGATGAATGGCGTTGGTCTTCAGGTGAACCTGCGCTCTATCTGAACTGGGCTACTGGACAACCAGAAGGCACAGATGATTGTGCTATGATGTTAAATGGAGAATGGCATGATTTGCCATGTAGTGCTGCCCGACAATTCATCTGTTACAACAGTGAGTTCATTTTTAGATGCACCATATACCAGATTTTAATGGAATACTAAACAGTATGACTGTTTAATTTGGTCGTGAATTTAGAATAGACTGTGGATATTTGTCACACTTTCAGTTTTGAGACAATTTCTGTATTTTATGTCGTATTTGCCAGAAGAATAGACTTCATTCACTGAACACACTTTGATCTTTTGTTATCTATATGATCATTTGTCACAATGGAAACTTGCAAGTAAAGAGCCTAAAAATCCTAGAGATCTAAATTGATCTTATATTATGAATAGTAAACGTACTGTAGTGATTAGAGGTGATTCAGCTTGATATTTTCAGCCTTCAGAATCTCAACACAAACCTACAAGGGCTTTGTTTTTCATTTGTAGATTAACTTGAGTCTGCTCCATGTAGGAATGATAGTCATTACAACATAAACCCTCGATGCAGAGAAATGTAATGTAGCGATTCCATAGTGAAGCTATTTTATAATAAAAGTCATGGTACAGGGTTGACATCAAGTTTCCGTGTTTCTAAATGTTTCTCTGTGTGCGACTGACTGTCTAACTGTATGTGTGTGTGTTTCATTTAATGGTTTGAATGCATTCGTTCCAGCCAATCAGAATCTAGTTTTTAGACAGATCATGGTATGATTTAAAATATCTTGAACATTGTGAATATTCAATATATCACCAGCTGTAGAAGCAGCTCAGGTCTTTGAATGAAGTGTTTCTGATGTTTCCACCGCTGCTCCTGTTCACATCTAAACCATAAAGCAGCGTAAGAATGATTCATTAACTTTTTGTCATTTGTTTTTCTTAAAGCGAACACAGGACTCGTCTTTGTCAATCAGCTGAAGAGTTGGAGAAACGCTCAGAGTTACTGCAGACAGAATCACATTGATCTGGTCAGTGTGAGAAACCAGAATGAGAGTCAACAGGTTCAGAAGATCATTAGTGATAATCACTCATCTGGATCATGTTCACATCTAAACCATAAAGCAGCGTAAGAATGATTCATTAACTTTTTGTCATTTGTTTTTCTTAAAGCGAACACAGGACTCGTCTTTGTCAATCAGCTGAAGAGTTGGAGAAACGCTCAGAGTTACTGCAGACAGAATCACATTGATCTGGTCAGTGTGAGAAACCAGAATGAGAGTGAACAGGTTGAGAAGATCATTAGTGATAATAATAAATCTGGATCATATGTCTGGATCGGTCTGTTCAGAGTCAGAGACTCATGGCAGTGGTCAGATCAGAGTAACTCCTCATTCAGATACTGGAACTCTGGTGAACCTAATAATGTTGGAGGTCATGAAGACTGTACAGTGACTGAACCGAACGCTCAGGGACGATGGAATGACATCTCTTGCACCAAACAATTTCCTTTAGTGTGTCATGAAGGTGAGTAGATCCTCACAAAACACACACAATCCATCACCTCCAGAGCTCCTAAAGTTCACGCTGAATGTCTGACATGACAAATTCATCCAGTGTTTGTTCTGCATGTTGTTTTTGATCAGTCTCTCTCTAGTTTCTGCTTGTGCTTTGTTTGGTTTCCAGATAAACTGATTGTGATCAGGGAGAATCTGACGTGGGCTGAAGCGCTGAGATACTGCAGACAGAATCATGTGGATCTGGTCTCGGTTCATTCAGAAGAGATTCAGCATCGTGTGATGAACGTGGTTAAACGGGCGTCTACTGCGGCGGTGTGGTTGGGTTTACACAACTACTGCAGCATGAACATGTGGCTCTGGCTGAGTGGAGAGATGGTGTGCTATCAGAACTGGGCTCCAGGGAACGGGACGACACCGGAAAACTGCAGCCTCGAGAAGAGAAAAGGAGCAGTTCAGTCTGGAGGAGATCAGCGCTGGATCAGCCTTCCTGAATCTCACAAACTCAACTTCATCTGCAGCAGAAATTAAACGCTAATGTGTTTACTTGCATCAACCGTTTTCATAGGCTACTTCATTACTTTTCTGATTCACTTTTATGTTTGATTTGTTCATCAGTAAGTTGTGAGTGAATCTGCTTATTGAGTTTTAAAAGTGGCCAAAAGTCTGTTTTATTTCCGTATAATGATATATGTGTCTTTTAAGAAACTCTTTGTATATCTGGTGTGGTTATGACTCTGTATGTTTCGCACTAATCAAATCTTTTCACACAAACATAACCAAACATCAGCTCAAATAAACTCCATTATTGTCTCCAATTTCTTGATTTCCCCTCAACAGCACACTGAACTGTACATTAGATGTAACCAATGTGTAAAATTTTAATTTGATTGTTGATTTATTAGGTTGATATTTAGGATATGTTTTCGCTCATAAAACATTATAATTTCATGTTTTTATTTTAGCGCCTCCTGTGGGTGTTTGAGTTTAACAAGAGGAAGGATTCTGTTCTGAGAATATCCTGATGTCTACAGAAGTCTAATATAGTTCAGTTTGTCAGATTATATACAGGCATATGAATATTGCAATATATACAGCCGTAGCCAAAAGTTTTGAGAATGACACAAATATTAATTTTCACAAAGTCTGCTACCTCAGTTTTTATGATGGCAATTTGCATATACTCCAGAATGTTATGAAAAATTATCAGATGAATTGCAATTAATTGCAAAGTTCCTCTTTGCCATGAAAATGAACTTAATCCCCCCCCCCCCAAAAAAACATTTCCCCTGCATTTCAGCCCTGCCACAAAAGGACCAGCTGACATCATGTCAGTGATTCTCTCGTTAACAGGTGAGAGTGTTGACGAGGACAAGGCTAGAGATCACTCTGTCATGCTGATTGAGTTAGAATAACAGTCTGGAAGCTTTAAAAGGAGGGTGGTGCTTGAAATCATTGTTCTTCCTCTGTTTACCATGGTTACCTGCAAGAAAACACGTGCAGTCATCATTGCTTTGCACAAAAAGGGATTCACAGGCAAGGATATTGCTGCTAGTAAGATTGCACCTAAATCAACCTGTGACGAGTGGGGCGGGGCCCAGAGCCATGGGAACGGAGCGAGGCCGGTGGAGTTAATGATAATGAGCGACACCTGCGCCACTCACTGGTCTCGAGTCCCACGGAGGAGCTCCGGACGGATGAAAAGAGGAGTAACGACAGTGAAGGATGAGAGAGGACCAGGCCTGGACTATTTATGTTGTTTTGGTTCTGTTTGTGCATGGCAGTCGTCTGTGAGGGGCTGTCGCGCTATTTTCAGTTTTGGGTTTATTTTATTATTAAAGTCTTTAAATGTTCGCCGGTTCCCGCCTCCTTCTTCCCGATCTACGAACGTTGTTACATTGGTGCCGAAACCTGGGAGGAAGGAGGGACAGGCTGTCAGAGAGCCCTTGCTGCTGAGGGGGATCGCGGTGCTGAGGAGGTCGAGCAGCATGAAAATGCGGAAAGTGCAGAAACCTGCGCCACTCACCGGTCTCGAGTCCCACGGAGGAACTCCGGAAGGATAAAAGGAGAAGTCACGACAGTGAAGGACGAGAGCAGACCAGGCCTGAACCATTTATGTGGTTTTGGTTCTGTTTGTACATGGCAGTCTTTTGTTTGTTTATTGTAATTATATTATAAAATGTTTATTTTATTATTAAAGTCTTTAAATGTTCGCCAGTTCCCACCTCCTTCTTCCCGATCTACTAACTTTGTTACACAACCATTTATCGAATCATCAAAAACTTCAAGGAGAGAGGTTCACTTGTTGTGAAGAAGGCTTCAGGCCACCCAAGAAAGTCCAGCAAGCACCAGGACTGTCTCCTGAAGTTGATTCAGCTGTGGGATCGGGGCACCACCAGTGCAGAGCTTGCTCAGGAATGGCAGCAGGCAGGTGTGAATGCATCTGCACGCACAGTGAGGCGAAGACTTTTGGAGGATGGCCTTGTGTAAAGAAGGGCAGCAAAGAAGCCACTTCTCTCCAAGAAAAACATCAGGGACAGACTGATATTATGCAAAAGGTACAGGGGTTGAACTGCTGAGGACTGGGGTAAAGTCATTTTCTCTGATGAATCCCCTTTCCGATTGTTTGGGGCATCCGTAAAAAAGTTTGTCCGGAGAAGAAAAGGTGAGCGCTACCATCAGTCCTGTGTCATGCCAACAGTAAAGCATCCTGAGACCATTCATGTGTGTAGTTGCTTCTCAGCCAAGGGAGTGGGCTCACTCACAATTTTGCCTAAGAACACAGTCATGAATAAAGAATGGTGCAAAAACATACACCGAGAGCAACTTCTCCCAACCATCCAAGAACAGTTTGGTGACAAACAATGCCTTTTCCAGCATGCTGGAGCACTTTGCCATAAGGCAAAAGTGATAACTTAAGTGGCTCGGGGAACAAAACATCAACATTTTGGGTCCATGGCCAGGAAAGTCCCCAGGCCTTAATCCCATTGAGAACTTCTGGTCAAACCTTAAGCGGCGGGTGGACAAACAAAAACCCACAAATTCTGACAAACTCCAAGCATTGATTATGCAAGAATGGGCTGCCCTCAGTCAGGATGTGGCCCAGAAGTAGATTGACAGCATGCCAGGGCAAACTGCAGAGGTCTTGAAAAAGAAGGGTCAACACTGCACGTATTCAGTCTTTGCATAAAGTTAATGTTATTGTCAATAAAAGCCTTTGACACTTATGAAATGCTTGTAATTATATTGCAGTATACCATAGTAACATCTGACAAAAAGATCTAAAAACACTGAAGCAGCAGACTTTGTGAAAATTAATATTTGTGTCACTCTCAAAACTTTTGGCCACGGCTGTACTTAATTAAATGCCTGTACTTTTCTTTGAAGATATGCCATAGCAACACTATGAGGGGAAGTGGAACAAGCCTATGAATTCTCTATTTGCACAGTATTGTGTTAAAGGGGTCATATGATGCAATTTCATTTTTTCCTTTC